AACAATCTAAACACAATAATCAGTTCTCAAGAAATGAGTTTTCAATCTAGATGATTTAAAAGTACAGAGTTCCAGTGGCTTCCCAATATCGGAAGGAAGAGCGTTCCAGACGGCCGCAGAAGCGTATCTGAAAGCGTGCGATGCGCGGACCGTCTTTGTTAGATGGCCAGCCGAAAGCCGCTGCTGCGAGGATGAGGGAGCACACGTGATGATGGTTTATGCTCCTTGATGAGATGAGCGAGGTTTTGGTGGTTCATTTGTGGCAAGCACTTTGTGTGTAATGAGTGCGACCTTTACAATGCATTCGTTCGGCGACCCGAAATTATTAAGAACAATTACTTGGTACGTTTGTCATTTGCGGAATTACGTAGCGCGCAAGCACAAATATCACAGAGTGCGTGTACGTGGTATATTTTTCCATTTTAAGGCAGTGCGAGTTTTTTTTCTAATTTCACTTAAAATAATTTAGTCACGTTTTTTTGACGGCAGCGTTGCCGTAGAAATCTCAAAAGAATGCCAAAACAGTGTGATGCGATGTGAGAAAAAAAAGTTTGGCTGGCTGGCTGGCACACGGGTGCGCAGATGCGCGCGGTCGTGATGTGCGAGGCTATAATGACGTTGCCTGGTTTCACAGACGAGGAGTATTGTCTGTAGGTATGGGGCAATGTTCCCGTGTGGTTTTACCCAATTTAATTATTTGAAACGTGACGCCGGCACGCATGGCCTACTCTCTTTGTATCCGATTGATAGGACGACGTTAAAATGCACCCGCGGAAGCAAACATAATAGGCGGCTGTATCGCGTAAGCCATCGGAAACACTCGAAGTGGCATCCTCTGCTGTTTTGTCGCAAGAATTGTGACCGGGTTAAGCCCCCCGATGGGACATTGCGGAGTCTGCGTTTGCACCCAAAGGCTCCATTGCCACATCCATCTTTAGGCTCTGCAAGCGACAGGCCAAGGATGGGAATTTCAGAGGGCAGATGACTCGTATTTTAATTCGCCACCGTCTCCCCACTCCCGGCCCCTGACAGGTTCACCCGGTCTGAGCGAGACGCGTCGGGAAGAGACGCGCATTGTCCGTGCCGCGTGGCCCCCCGCGTTGATTTCGCTATTGAAATCACCGACGGATATATTTGTCACCAACGTGTTTTGATTTCCTCTTTGTCCTGCACTGCCGGCCACCGGTCCAATGAGTGAAACTGGACCGGTGGCCGGTGGTGTGGAATAGAGGAACAAGTAATGTTTTAACAAGGTACAAAACCTCTTTTTTTCTTCTTTCTTTCATCGATGACGATGGGGGGCTGACTACTGCTGCCCATGAGATTAACGAGGCTGAACGAAGAAGCAGACTACGATGATTTAAGTTAAACAAGCTATTTAGTGGCGACTGCGTTGGCAGTAGCGCACAAGCACACAAATAACACAAAGTGCGTGTACGTAGTATATTGTTCCATTTTAAGGCAGTGTTCGTTTTTTTTCTAATTTCACTGAAGAGAATGTAGCGACGTTGTTTTTTACTGCAGTTTTACCGAGGAAATCCCAAAATGATCAATCTCAAAACAGCTTCATGCGATATGAGAAAAAAAGTTTTGCTGGCTGGTCTCTGGGTGAGTCTATAGATCTGTGTGAGTCGTTGGGACTCTTTGTGAGTCTGTGGGTCTCTGTGTGAGTCGTTGGGACTCTTTGTGAGTCTTTGAGTCTCTGGGTGAGTCTATGGGTCTCTGTGTGAGTCGTTGGGTCTGTGTGAGTCTGCAGGCCTCTGTATGTATGTAGTTGAACTTCTTTCGCATCATACGTAGCCAAGCGTGCTAATCAGAGGCCTCAATGTGTGTCTATTGGTCGCTGCGGGAGTCAATGGGTCTATGCATATGTCTATGAGTCTGTGGCTCTCTAGTCTCTAATCATCCTAGTAGCATCGTTTTTGTCTTTTCTCAAACATATGAGTCTCACCTCCGTGACCTCCAGAATTAGCCTCCCGCACAATCTCCTTCATCGGTGTATCATCAGTATTGTTATTCTACGCAAGCGTCAAAAACCGGGACTTACAATGTCCTGGAAAGTGCAGACTCAAGGACATATTTTTAGTTTTCTTCCACCGAAGACGTAACAGATTAGACAACCACCTCTAAGAGAGAATGATCCCGTGAACACCTGGACAGGTGGCAACCCCCCCACCCGCTGGCCCCCACCCTCCCCTCCAACCCTTCCACCTTCCTCGCCGTGAACTTAAAAGGACACGACCAGCGCCGGATTACCAGCGGCAGTCGTCAGCGGACGCGTCCGAGTGACGCTGCGGCACCTGCCCCGGTCCACCTTGCCTGAGCTGCTCGGGTTATTTATTTTATTTATTTTAATCCCACGTTTCCCGCACTGACTGACGCACACGGAACGTGACGTCGGCCGAGCCAGTGCCGCGCAGCGACGCGTCCCCGCGCGGGCGCACGCACGCACACAAAGACAAAGATCCCCCGTGTAGCGTCAACAGGCTGTTGGGGCAATTGCTGTTAGCGAATAGCACCTATGAAGGTCGGCACGGCACACGAAGGTGGGTGGCCAGCACCACGCCCGACTGCCTTTGTCTCCCCAATGGCGATGTTTACTGCACACTGCACCAGATACTCATTTGAGGCTGAGCCCACGACCGGTTTCAGATGAGCTTCACCGGTGACGACCGGTTGCCGGGTTGGTAGCGCAGCGCGCTAACCGTCGCACTCCCACTCCCCACACACACACACTCACGAGCACGCTCGCACGCACCCGCTCGCACACGCAAGCGAGCTGCAAGGCATGTGCACTCGGCGAGATAATGCGGGCGAGAGCCGTGCTCAAAGAGCGGCGGTTGGGGTCGGGGGAGGGGTGGTGATGGGGTGGAGTGGTGGGGGGGGGACGTCCGTCGAGTGGCCAGCGCGGCGCGAGAGCGTCAATGGTTCACGACACCCTAACACCCTAACACCGCCACGGCCACGATGAGGTCACGAGCGATGAAGAAAAGCACCCTTCGCGCACTGTCGATCGGCTCTGGCGAGTTCTTCTCGCCCCTGCGCTTGAACAGGCGTCTCAAAATACACACAGGACACAGCGTCCTTCCTCCTGTGGCTGACGGTGATGTCGAGCGACAGCCCCGAGTTTACATCGAGGCGGCTGATGAGCCAGGTGATTGCGTCAGGAGCAGCTGTGATGATGAGGCCTCATCCTTGTATTTTGTGAATCGGTGGGGAGATGAGGAAGGGGAGGAGCATTGTGTCTCCATTATTCTACGTCCCATGGTTCTGTTCTGGGTTGTGACCACAGTCTCCCGCACGCTGGCCGGGAGAGAGTTTTACATTTTACACGTGCGCATCATATGTGACCGCATCTGTTGCGGTTTAATCGGCTGTGTGCCCGGCAAGCTGCGTAGAAAACCGAACCCGGGGACCTCTCCTGCGTCTTGTCCGGGTCTCTCGCGAGGCGGAGGTGTTTACTACTTCTTGTTGGCTCCACGTGGCTTTCCAAGCATCACCACCATCATCATCATCCCCAGGGTTGGAGTTGCGATAAACAAGGGATACGTTACCGCTAACTCGGAGCGACCGGGGGTTGTTTCCGCCGTTAATGATTAAACGAGAGAAAATCAAACATCGCCTCCCACTGCAGCGTTCTAGTTGCACCGTCTCGTCCGCGATGTTGCGACCTTTCACCCCGCGTGCCGAGCGCTTCTTGACGAAGTGAAGGGGGTTCTTCCTCCCACCAAAGAATCTCGCCGTACGTGGCGTGGAACGTTGCAAGTGGGAGCGGCGACGCGGCCCAACGGCGGCGCTTCCGCCACCTGTAGCAGAGATCATGGGAACCTCCCTTGCCAGTATCAAATATATAAGAATAGGTTTTACCCTTTCTGGCAATAAAACAGGAGGTGTTAGGATGTTAGAACACCAAACTGAAACCTTTTGCAAAGAATCATGTCTGCATTGGTCACATATACTTGTGGTGAACATGTAAACTAAAAAAACATGCTTTGGTAGTATATGATGATGCATTGTCCCTGAAACTGATTGGTCCACACCAGAGACAGCTTTCTTTAGTGCCTCGTCTCAAACGGTGTTAGACTAGAAGACGCCAAAAGGAAGGCGACTAGCACAAAGACAATGCACACTCAGGACATTGAGAGCTCGGGGTGAGCAGCCACATCATGAGACCTCCCTTGCCAGTATCAAAATATAAGAATAGGTTTTCCCCCTTTTTTCTGGCAACAAAACAGGTGTTAAGATGTTCAAACACCAAACAGAAATCTTTTGCAAGGAATCCCGTTTTTTTTCACGGGACGCCCCCCTGATTGACGTCTTTAAAAACGAGCTGGCAGTTGTTTTCCGGTGTCGTGGTCCAAATGTGCCAACAACATTTTTTATTGATTACCCCCAAATTACTCGATTGGGGATTACACACAGCGGCAATCGTCGTCCCTGCCGGCAGACTAGCACCCGTCTTGACGGGCCTGCGGGAACAAGAAGTTATAAACAGCCAGTGAGAAGGGCTCCCCGTTCACCCGGCGGTGGATAAGCCGCGGCTGCTGGCTCTGGTGTGGCGGGGAGGGTGACGACAACCCCACGTGGTCACCGTGTGGAGTTGTTCCACATCGAGAGGAGCGTTGCTCGGAGGAGCCGGTAGCGGCGTTCGGCGATGACACCACGTTGCTTCCACATTGTGAAGCGCTGCACACTCAGGGCCGTGAGAGGCACTTGGTTGTGGTTATGGTTGTGGTTATTGCTGTGGTTGTGGTTATTGTTGTGGTTGTGGTTATTGCTGTGGTTGTGGTTATGGTTGTGGTTGTGATTATTGCTGTGGTTGTGGTTATGGTTGTGTTTATTTTTGTGGTTGTGGTTATTGCTGTGGTTGTGGTTGTGGTTATTGCTGTGGTTGTGGTTATGGTTGTGGTTGTGGTTATTGCTGTGGTTGTGGTTATGGTTGTGGTTATGGCTTCCGTCCCTCACTGTATATCGTGATGGGTGTTGCCCTTGCACTGCAGGTACCGGAAAAACCTCAAGGCTTTCTACATTGTCCACCCTACGTTCCTCTCAAAGGTGTGCTCATCATTGTCACCACCGTCGTCGTTGTCACCATCTTCGTCCCTAGTAATAACCAGGGTTTCCTGCTGAATCTGAACCCCGCAAACCTCTGCGACAATCGGCAGATGTACAATTGCGGGGTCGTCGATGCTTTTGCAGGATTAGCTTTTGGTTCAATGCGCTGTTGGCTGAAGTTTACATAACACCAAAGTAAATGCATTTCATATTTCAAGCAGTACCCACTACAGTGATTTTGTGAATTATCGCTGTCCAGTCTCACACTCCGATTCAACACACCCCAGGCTGCACCTTGACCATTCACTATAAATCAATTGGATAATTATTGAATCATCGACACGCTGGTGGCATTGAAGTTTAAACTCACGCACCCGGTCTGGTACCCACGCACATCTGTGTACTCGCCGTTCACTATCAACTATTTTTATTTTACCAGGTAAGGCCCACTGAGCTTTTTCAGATTCGACCTGTCTGCAAATAATAGCTCAACGAACTGGCTCATCATGTGGAAATTTATAGCAGCCAAATACTCGTAATGCTTGTTGGTTCTAATGTGGAGAGAGAAACCGGAGGACCCGGAGAAAAATCCACGCGACCACGGGGAGAGACACGCAAACTCCAAATACACGGCAGGCGTCAGGGTCGCGATCAAACCCGTAACCTCCTGCATACCAGGTGAGGGAGTTAACATCTCGCCACCGCGGCACCTGTACCCTCCCTCCCCCAGGTCATGACGTGGTTCTTCACGACGTTCACCGCGTCGGGGCTCAAGGCGAAGGTGCACAGCGTGCAGCGGCTGCAGCAGCTGTTCGCTCACATCCCCCCCGAGCAGATCGACATCCCCCCCTTCGTCCTCGACCACGACCTCCAGGTGACATGGCGCGCTTTGCGGCCATCCGGCTGTCCGTCCGTCTCTCTGACCTTTCGTGTGTCTCCACGTCCGTCCGTCTCTTTGACCTTCTGTGTGTCTCCACGTCCGTTATTCTCTCTGACCTTCCGTGTGTCTCCACGTCCGTCAGTCTCTCTGACCTTCCGTGTGTCTCTGTCCGTCCGTCTCTCTGACCTTCTGTGTGTCTCTGTCCGTCCGTCTCTCTGACCTTCCGTGTGTCTCCACGTCCATCACTCTCTCTGACCTTTCGTCTGTCTCTACGTCCATCCGTCTATCCGTCTGTTTAACCGTCTGTTCATCTCTCTATCCGTCTGTCCATGTCTGTCCATGTCTGTCCATCCGTCTGTCCATCCGTTTGTCCGTCTTTCTCTCTGTCTGCCCGTCACTGCAATTTCTCTGCAGGGGAGGGGGTGGCCGTGGGGGGCTGGGGGGGAGAAGGAAAGTGTGATTATTTTATCGCCGACCGTTTCACAAAAACCACGGGAGCTGCTGCAGTTGGGAACGTTCCATCCATCCAAATCATAGCTCGCGCTGCACGCGGTAAAGGGTTCACCACGGCAGCGCACAATGGAGCCGGCTCGGTTAACTACGTCACGGTTAACTATGGCTTGGTTAACTACGGCGTGGTTGACTTGCTCAGCTACGTCGTGGCTAACGACAGACATGAGCCTGCCACTAACCTGCCCTCGGTGTACGCCCAGTCACGCCTCGTCGAAACTCTCCGAAGCTAAGAGGGGTTTCGAGCGCAGCGAGTAACAACGGATGGGTGGCCGCCACCGGTGCATGCCATGTAAATTAGGGGGCGGGGGGGTGAGGGGTGCCGGTTGCACGTGGCACGACCGTGCCGTGGCCTTTCCACCGCTCGTTGCAGAAGGGTTTGCGGATCGAATCAGAAGGACCGCCCTGGTTAATACTGTCATGTGCAGCGTTTACCAAATTAACACCAATGCGTCGTTGGTGTTATTTTTTCACCCCCCCCCCGCCGCCCCCTAATTTACTTTCTGTGCCGGCGTCACGGTCCGTGTTTAGCAGATAAAAAAATGTACTCGCAGATGACATAATTGGATGGAAATCCCCCGCAACAACATCGACTGTGAATCTATTGCAGACCGCGTGATCGTCTGCGAAGCGAAGCAGCTTCGTGATAATAATAGCCTTGCGCTGGAACATCGACTTGAAATCTCCCCGACGTCCTTGCGCGCTTTGGCCGCGTTGAGTTCGCATCGACGCCCGCGTGACGTTTCTCTCTTCCCGGGAAACGGATCTTCGGGCATGTCGAGCGAAGCGTCAGACACTGCTGCCGAATCGTCGCACGTGCGGCACAACCCAAAAACCCACCGTGGGGGGGGGGGGGGGGGGTTGGGGCTACGCAGCACCACAGCCACGATGACCACACGCACGGTGGAGATCCACCGCTGTGACCTCGGTAGTAGAGAGTGGTACGCCGCGTGAACCCTCTGCTCGCTCGTTCATTACGAGTCGGATGAAGGCAGTGGTCGCTCCATACGCCCCGTTGTGGCTGTGTCCACGCTTCAGGGACGGCTCCCTTTGTCGAATTAAATCTTTCCCACTTTTGTTCTTTCCACTCTCTCCGCAGGCGAACCGCGCGTACTACACAGATGACCCGTCGGGGCACGATCTGTAGACGGATTTGGAGCAACTGGAACCCCGGCGGTAATAACCCCCGTGGCAACAGCGGCGGCGGCGGCCGTCGCGAGCCATCTCCTCCCGCCGGACCCAGCCCAGCGTCGCTCGCACTCCCCGGCCTCTTGTAAACCAACGCGGTTGGGGCTTGGCCCTGACATTGTTGGACCGCGCCGGCCAGCCGGGGGCCCACCCTCCCGTGCCGCGTCAGTTCCATGCGCCCTCTCTCGCCCACCGGGCGTCGCCGATGCGCGCTTGGTCAGCACGTGCGTCGTTTGTTTTGTTTTAGAGAAAATGTCAAGACTCTTCGGGGGGGGAAATTATTCTGGGCGCTGTTGCCGAACCGTTAATGGTTTGTTTGCTCCATTTTAAGGGCTCCGGAGAACCGCCACTGAAAGATTTCGAGAGGCTAATCCGTCCGGCAATCATTGTACCTTCTTTCCCACTTCATTTGCTCCCCACGGTACGTATAAGTGTGTGTGTGTGTTTGAGTGTGGGACTGTTTCTTGCCGCGTGAAAGTTATGCTAGGAAATCGTTGAAGATGTGAAATGAATTGGGGTCGACCGTGAGGAGTAGGCTTCATCACAGCAGTTACGCGGTTGACGATGTGACACGGCCGTTGGTGGCGGCACTGGCAATGATTTGTACACTTGCTGTGCACACCTCTTGTCCAAAGCCGATTCCACGCCTGGGCGATCGGAATCGCGCCCGGAGTTGCGCAACTTCGTCGCCTGCGGCTGCTTTGCCCACTTCTGAGCAAGCAGTTGTACGGCGAGGAAATGAATCGGTGTGTTCGGGATCGTAACTACCGATCAAAGGGGGTCGGCAAATTGTCGCTGCGAATCGCTGAGCGCAGCCGACGCTTGAAAGTCGAGCCTCTCTCTCGTGCGAGCAACCCGAGTTGTGAACACTTGAGTGCATCAAGTGTTACGCAACTGGATCGCTCGGGTGTGGAGCCGGCTTGAGATGAGGCATCGTGAATGGGTCGTGTGCAGGTTTTGGTGAATGAACTACGTGGATTACAAGTTTCCTGGGCAACACTTTCAATGAAGAAACACGTGGAATTATATTGATACAACCCTGCTGCTTATGCACAGACCTGGCACTCTGCAATAAGCTCTTTTTAACGCAAGCAGTTGTGCTCTTTGCACGTACACATATGCATTGTATTTAACAAATAATTTTTTGAGCGGGAAAATCTGGTACCTACTTTGATAGTCTCAAATAAGCTTTTGTGCACTGCGTTCATTGTCACTTTTTCCCCCGATTCTCTCCCAACGAGCTGTGGTTAGCGCGCTGCGCTATAAACCCGGCGACATGCGTTTTATTTTCCGCTCGCGGCCACCACCAGTGACGATTATCTCAATTGGTTCTGGGCCTCCCCTAGGTCTACTCAGCCTCAAATGAGTACCTGGTGCGGTGTGTAAACATCGCCACTGGAGAGACAAAGGTGGCCAGGCGTGGTACTGGCCACCCACCCCCCTCGTGTGCCTTGCCATCCGTCACAGGTGCTCGCTAACAGCACTTTCCCCAACAATCTATTCAAGCGTTACAGGGGGGAGTCTCGGTCTTTTTTTGCGAATTAGTGCGAGTGTGCGTCTGAGCAATGCCAGCGCGCGGTGGCTCATTCACTGCCTTACCATTCAAGTCACCGGGGTTCGATTCCCAGCCGTCGGTGGCAAGTGGTATCTGATCCTCGACTAGTTGTCCTCCCCTAGGTCACCTCCGCCGCAAATAAATAAAGCTGTTATGCTGTATGAATGTCAGCAATGGGGAGACACTGGTGACCGGTCACAGTGCCGATCGCATCACCACCACCACCATCACCACTACCACCACCACCACCACCATCACCACCATCACCACCATCACCACCATCACCACCACCATCACCACTTCGTTTGCAGCAATTTTTAAGAGGTACCCACAAATAGCACCTGTTGTGTCGGATCTCATCAGGCTGAATTGAAGCGGTCTCCGTGTTTGCGCGTGCGTGACCCGATCGTTTCCTGTGCCTGCGGGATTCATGTTGGTTTCGTGCTCGAATTTTATTTACTGAAAAATTCTGGGCGGATCGGCCGCCCTCTCTACGCGGCGGGAAAGGCACACGAGCGGTAAACAGGAGCCCTCATCCCTCCGCCCCCCCACCCCCCGCCTCTCCCCCCCCCCACACACAATCAGAGAGGGTCTCCACTGCACGGCGAGATACATGCAAATAAAGATTGCCTCTTCGGTGCCGCGTACTTTCTCCCGGTGCTGTTGAGACAAAAGCGCACGTTTATTAAATCCCACATATTTCACGGCCTTAATTTACGTCGAACGAGGTCGGGTGTCATTATCTTCATCAATATTACACAAATCGTCAATTGTAATGATAATAAACGAGCGACCACCTTAAATCTTTTTGCCACCGCGACTCTCAAACCTGGCTGACTTCTCGGCAGAGCGCAAAATCTAATTCCCTGACGCACGCCCGCCGGCTCGCTCGCTCGCTCGCTCGTAATGTCTCTTCCGTGGCAATTGGCCACACCAGAGTTGCGCTTCAACAGAACCTGTCTCCCGGTTGGACGGGCGAGGCATGGAAATCAATCGGCACACTTTATCCACGGGCAGCAAGCGGTGAATGTCTTGTGCACGGTCCCGCTAACCCGTAGGTATTAAGTAAAAAAAAATATGTAATTTATTTACCGTTTCCATTGTGACGTTTTTTTCAGTTTTGTTTTACCGCAGCTTGCCGTGCCATGCAGCGGGTACTTTTTTTCTCGTCCTTTTCGTTTTTTTCGTTGGCGGGCGCCGAATGTCGCGGGCGCCCGTGATGTCAATGTGAACCTACGGCAGCGCTGGCAATGCGGGAGAGTGGTGTGCACTGGTGCATCCCGCACGCACACGCACACGCACACACGCAATGAAGCCACGTTGGTCGATGTAAAAAGAACAAATCCTAATCCACGTCATTTATCTGCGGCCGACGGAACTGCGCGCGCGCGCGCGAGTGTGTTTTGGGACCAGAAACGCGAGGTGCGTTTAATTTCGACGTGTTGCGTTTTGTCTTTTTTTACCACGCCGCTCTATAGGAAGCCCTCGCGTCGACCCGTCGCGCCGGGCGATTCGTTTGCGTCGCTTTGACGTCCACGCGCTTGCCCCCCGCGAACTCACGCGGGCGAGAGCAGGCTGGTCAAATATCCGTGAGGAGGCATTCCCTCCCGGCGTCCTCCGCTGTGTACCGCACCCCCCGCGGCCTACGTCGAATATTTCCCAAAATCCGGTTGTGGATTTTACGGATCGGCGTGGTGTTTTTCTGTCCGCAAGCGTCCGCGCGCCGTCCGTCGTCGTCCACCGCTCCGTCCGTCCGTCGGTTGCGCTCGATGTGATCTTGAAGCCCCGTTCTGAAATCTGCTGCACGTGCCCTGGCCTTGGCATTGCTTTCCACCACTCGGTTTTGATTTACCGCCAGCCCTGACGGTTGATTTGTTCCACCACGATTCCCACTTCCACTCTCACCCCCTCCCACCCTCTCGCCCCCCTCCCCTCGTTAATTTGGCACGTCGTCGCTCCATCGATCGACCTCGCGCCCCCCCCCCCCCCCCCCCCCCCAGTGCCGTTGGTGTCGAGGCCGGGGTGTGATGACGAGCGATGTGCGGCTGCCCAACCCCCGGAGCCGGTCGTCCTGACGTGCACCGCAGCGGAGTTTAAAAACCTCGCGAGCAGATGCCGACCACATGTTTTTTGGCGTTCATATTTTAGTTTCTCTAATTATTTTTCACTGTGTCGGTTTATCGCTTTTTTTTGTTACCTCTGTAGGCTTGGGTGTTTATTTTTGGTCCCGGATGCAGAGTTTTACGATGGAGTGCGAATTTCCACTCAGTTCGTTTTCTTAAGGGACCTAAATTCCACGCCGTGTTTGTGTGTAGTGTCGCCAAATTGCACATTCTAGGCGAGTGGTTGAACTTTTAGGATAAATAAATGTCTTTGGTATTATTGTTATTCGTCTTGTGGCACGTTTGCCTGTGAAGGTCCAGAAAAATCACACTTTTGTCTGTGTGTGGGTGTCGGGAGCGATGGCACAGTGGTTAACGCACATGGATAATACTTGTGTGTGTGCGCATGTGCGTGTTTCTGTGATCATATGTGTAGGTGCAGCGGTGGTGTAGCGGTTAGCGCGACGGCCTCCGAACCCGGCAACATAGGTTCGATACCCAGACACGGTTAACATCAATCGCTTTTATCTGAACCAGTATTGGGCCTCGCCTATGTCAGCCTTAAATGAGTATGGTGTGTCAACCTCCGAACCAGGAAGATGAAGGCAGGCTGGGTGTGGTTCTGACCACAACACGCGATTGTGCCGGCCTTCATAGGTGCTCGCTTAACTGCACTTGCCCCAACAACATATGTAGGCTATACAGCGGGGGGAGGGGGATGGGGACATGCGTGAAAAGAGCTTCATAGGTCATCGGAATCTGACAGTTTAAATAAAGATTCTGATTCTGGAATCTTTACTTTTGTGTGCTTCTGTGTGTCCGCGTGTGTGTGTGTGTATATATACTGCATGAGGATCGGTAGTGTAGCGGTCAGCGCGCTGTGCTACGTGACCTGGTGAAAGCGGCAAACACCAGTAGCGATTATCTGAACCGGTCGTGGGCCTCCCCTAAGTCGACTCAGGCTCAAATTGGTGTCTGGTGCAATGTGCAAACATCGCCACTGGGGAGACAAAGGCGGTCGTGCGTGGTGCTGGCCACTCACCCCCTCGTGTACTGTGCCGGCCTTCATAGGCGTTCGCTAACAGCACTTGCCCCAACAGTCCGTTAAGGCGACACGGGGGATCTTGGTGTTTGATGTACACTGCGTTCACATCAGGTGGAGTTGGCCAGTAATCCTCACGGGGTTACGGATGGTCGCGTCCGTCCGTGTTTTATCGCCGGACAGGCGGTGACGGCCGGCTGGCCGCGGTGGCGTGGGGGACGTGCCGGCGAGAGAATGCGGCCCCCCCCCCCCGGCTCCCGCCCCCCCGGTCCCACGCTGTCCTTGCCGGGACGTGCGTCCCCCTCACGGCCCCACCGAGATCGGCAATCACTCGCACGACCTATATTGAAGTGGCGGCAAGAGTCGGAGGGTGCTTTCTTGCCGAGATCTGGTGACGCCGAGATCCGGTGACTCCGAACAAATGCGAGTGACTTGCCGTTTCGTTCTTGTTATAACAATGTAAGTGTGTGTGTGTGTCATCTCGGTCATCTCAGTCAGTTGACCCGTGGCACCCGGGTCTGCCCCTTGACCTACTGCCAGCGGGCGTTCGACACTTCACGTGGCCTCAAGGTGCACATGGCCTGGCACAAGCGTCGTGGTGATTTCACCGCCACTTAGTGTCGAATGGCGGTTGTTGTTGTTGTGTGTTGAACTTCTTTCGCACCGTGCGTAGCCGACCGTGCTAATCGCATGTAACAAGAACGAAAGCCTCACCGAGTTCCAACTCTCTTCTTCAGTAGGGTCCTGCCAACTGCATGCTCCTGTGTGTGTGTGTATGAGATCCCAGTTGAGTAAGTTTGCAATGTTTTCTGCATTTGCATATTGCGTGTCGTGTTCAGCTATGGGTGGGAATTTGAGAACCCGCAGTAAACCCATGGCGAGCATACGAACTGCACGCAGAAAGGCGCCCGGGTCGGGAATTGAACCCCAGGCCCTTGTTGCGGTTAGGCATGAGTTGTCACCACCCTGCGACCTGTCAATTCGAGAATGAAACCGATCCCGTGGAACCGTGTTCATCGGCTCTTTGCGGGTTAACGTTCGCTTGCTTCACACTTTGACACAAAAGTAACGAAAAAACTCAACAAAGTCAGTCTATCTGTAGGCTGCCGGGTTCACAACGCAATGTGCTAACTGCTGCTCCAACGCTCCCCACCCCCACCTCGTGATTGTTGTGGTGCTAAAGCTGTGGACAGCAACCGGTGGGAGGGAGGGGGAGGAGGAGATGGGGGGGACTTTGTTATTTGCGACGCTTTGAGTCACTTTTGCCGGCTCGGTGGGACGCGCGGGCAAGAGTCGGAGCGGACCTTGCGTGGAGACGCGGGGTGAGGTGAACCTGCAGGGGTTAACGCACGCCACCTCCCCCACCCCCTTCCCCGTGCAAGGTGACGCTCACAGCTTGTGACGGTTTGTTTCAGGGGCTGCTAAGTCTAACGTGAAGAGATCTCTGCCGATTGCCTGTGCGGTGGAGTAGGGGAGGGAGGGAGGGATGCACTTTTTTGTGGTTCCGTCAGTAACAATGAGATGTCACGCCAATGCGGTTTACGGGGCTTCACGTGTTGCGTCCGTGTCTTTCCCTGTGATTAACCCGCTCGCTGAAGCTGTGAGCAGGAGGAGGGGTGGAGAGGGGTGTGAGTTGTGTAGCCAGTTGACGTGTAGATACTCTCCCGTCAGCGCGAGTGTAGCTGTCGCCGTGTGATGGGAAGGCACACCCCGAAGCTTGCGTTGTCCTCGGCCGGTTTTGTTTTCCGTCGGTTCCGTACGAAGGTATAAATATGGCAATCACTTCCGGTGCTGCAACCGTCGATCGAATCGCCGGGTGATGAATTGTCTCTTTGCGCTCGGCGATGCGTGCGTCGGATTGCGTGTGCGCGAGCAGGGCCGGATTAAGATTTTGTAGGCGTCGTGAGGCCCCCAGTAATATTTTCAAAAGGAAAACAAAGTTAAAGAAAAATCCATTTTATTTTTACAAGGCGAACAACAAATAAAATTCGGCATTCACAAATAAAATATCTTTTCACTCGCCCCCCACGCCTTAATCCGGCCCTGCGCGCGAGTGTGTGTGTGTAAAGAAAGAAAAAAAGTGATTATTTTCTATCTGTACGTGGGCAATCCTGCAAAATCGTGCAGCCTGAAAAATATGAAAATTTCTCGAAATCACCCCAGTAAGCGCGCGAGAGCTGTCTGAGTGAAGTTAAATGTGTTGGCTTTTCATTTAAAAAAAAATCTTTTAAGAAATAACAGCTCTTAGAATAAATTATTGGTTCGACACTAAAATTATTGCACCATCACCACCATTCCGTTGTGGATGAAAAATATCAGGCGGGAATCGAACCTAGGACCTTTTAGCCATGAGGGAGGAGAGAAACTTGCACACCTACGGTTGGTTCCTCAATGTACACCCACGCTCTCTGCACCAGTGGGTTCCCGATCTCTTGTCAGATCAGTGGCTTTGGGATTAATGTCTATTTGGGGTTTGCGTCTCTCTCTCTTTCTCTCCCACCGTGATCGCGTCGATTTTTCTCCCGGGTCTTCCGTTTTTTCCCCCTCCACATTTCGAATCGACGTGCGTTTTAGAGTATTTGGCTGCTATAAATGTCCAAGCCACTTGGTTGAGATATCATTTTTGTGATAGCCAGGTCGCTTCTAAAAAAAAAAAAACTCCATAGCTAAAGTGGGCCTTACCTGGTAAAATTCTAAACGTGTTTTTATTTAAAATATATAGATATTTTTAGAATGTCGGTGAACCGTTGCACCTGTTCTACCCCTGTGTTGGGGAAACCACTACCGGGGCGGGATGCGCGGGGGAACAGTCTACACGTTGCTCCCCCCACTTGTTAACACTTTTTATTGTCAAAGCCATCGGCACGGCGGCTCCTGGCGGCGGCCACCACCGTAGGACGACGCGGATGGTGGGGATTGTGCGCTCCGTGCGTCACGCGGAGCGTGCGTCCTCGCCGTGAGTGATTGCGTTAACCCGCGGAGCGACACGCTCGCTCGGCACGCGATGAACCACTTCGGTCCCGGGCGTCACCCCGAGCCACCACGCGTGCTGCTGCTGTTTCCACTGCTGCTGTCGTTGTCGCAGCTAGTGCTGCTGCTGCTGCTGCGTGTTCGTGGTGACGCGCGCGTTCTTTCGGGGAAAGCGGCCGTCCCCGAAGTCCTTTGCAAGTAACCCCTTAACTGGTGACGCTGCCGCACTGTAACGGTTCGCAACGCTGGACTTTGCCAATCACAAAGGTCGTCCGCTTCGATGCGAATTTCCCCACGGCGTGACAGCAAGATGCGCCACCCGCTGTCGTAGCGACCGCCGCCGTGATGCCGACGCGATGCCGACACGTGTGCCAGGCACAGCCCTCGTCGTGCGCTCCACTGCTGGACGAGGGCTCCTCCCCCCTACTACGCATCGAGCGTGGCGGGTTGGCGAAGGACCAGCGGAGGGCGGGCGGGCGAGCCGAGGCCCGGGAGCATAGACGTACGGCACAACGGCGGATTGCGCCGTGACGCGTGGTCACCTGTCCGGGCACCGTGGTTGCGCTCTGCGCTCAGCCCCCCACCCCCCGTGTGTGTGTTTGCCGCACTATCTGCGAGGACGGACGATGGGTTGATTCGGCGACGGGGAGGGGGTCGTGAGTTTACCGAACCCTGCTCAGGGTTTCAGCCGCTGGGGAGCACTTCTGTAAATGTTTTGCCGTAACAAGTTTTTTTTTTTTGCTCCGATGTGAAATGTGAACGCCCTCATTCTCCCGACTCCTCACCCTCCCCCCACCACCCCCCCCGCCCTCCCCGACTTTGTGATTTCCTTTTGCTGTTTATCGAACTGATTAAAACAATGCAAATAAACTTGTCTTTTTTTTTACCTTCACCTCGTCTCGTTGGCGTTCCACTACGGGCATGTTGCGATCGATGTTCGGTTGCGTTAGTACAGGATTTGTCACTTTACAGGGGTTATTTTATGAATCTAGATCAGCCGGGGGTGCCGTGGTGGTGAGATGTTATCTCCCTCGCCTGACATGCAGGAGGTCGTGGGTTCGATCTCAACCCTGGCACCTGCATATTTGGAGTTTGCGTGTTCTCGCCGTAGTCTCTTTACTTATGCTATGATACACTTAGACGACTAAACTATAAAAATATAACTAAATTCAAGATGGCAAATAGTTTTAATATAAACTTTTTTTTACGGGGGTCTGCGCTTAACAATGCGCGTCACCTTTGAAAATGTTCGTAAATTTTTGAATCGCGATGCTCGCACTCTGCCGTGGCCTCTTGCGAATGAAGTTACGCGGTTTTGTAACGGCCGCCGTGAAGTGTACGGACCGCGGTATTTTTCATGGTTCCTTGGGAACGTGCGCGCTCGTCCCGAGGGCTGCCACGGCACGATCCCGGAAGGTTTGTATCGGGCACTTGAGTCGGGGGGGGGGGGGGGCGGTACATTGCTAACCGGGGGGCGAGCGCTGGGTTCGAGCCGCGAATCGTCGAACGCGCCGAAACCGCTGGGTCTCGTCGCACGACCTGCCCATTCGGGCTGCTGCCTCGCGACGGGGAAATTGTGTACGGGGTGCTTAAACAAAAATGAAAAATTAAATTTAACACGTCTGAGAATTTGCAACAACACCACCAGGAATGTGCTGCCATCCGGGCTCTGGAGAACCACCTGGAGATGCTTTCCAGGCACGCGTTGATACTGATGGCGAACAACTATGGGGACCTCATTTGCCAGTAAAAATATGATAATTGGTTCTTTACCCTTCTATCTGGCAACAAAACTGACACCTTTTTACAAGGAGTCATGTTTGCATAGACCGCAATACCTGCAGTCATAAATACAAACAAAAGACATAACTCTTCAAGGACAGTGCACATTATCAGAGTTATGTCTTGTTTGTATTTATGACTGCAGGTATTGCGGTCTATGCAAACATGACTCCTTGTAAAAAGATGGCGAACATGTTGAGACTCGGACTTTTAGAAGTTATTAACATTACATTTGTTAGAATTGTAACATTACATTAGTTACGCAGTGTATTATCCGTAATTTTTCCATTAATCACGATAGCCCCATGTAAGTGTTAGCATTTTTTTTGAAGCGTGCTGTACAATGGGCTCGTCAGAGAAAGGAGAGGGCAGAGAGATTAACACAGCTGGAGGATTGCACTTTACAGCGTGGGCCCCGTGAATTGGCGGCAGTGTTGCGCCGAGTAAATCTACCGACGGGAGACCTTCATAGTTTAGCTCAGGGGTCGGCAACCAAAATAACAAGAAGAGCCATTTCTTTCCAATTCGGTACAAAATTCAGTATTTCAAGAGCCGCAATGCATCTGAGTACATACGTACTCATCGTCAAGAAGCAGCCCGTAAAAAGCCGCATGCGGCTCCGGAGCCGTAGGTTGCCGACCCCTGGTTTAGCTGCATGTTAATAATGTATGTGGGTGGCGAGGGTGGCGCAGTGGTGACGCAGCAAGAAGGTCACCGGCTTCGACTCCCCCCCTATTCCGGTTGCCTTTCTGCGGTGAAGTTTATTTGAGTTTAACACGTAGGCTTTCGCGACCAATGTTATTCATAATCAACAATTTTTGGGTTTAGATCGCGTTTATTTATAAATGTGTCGTAACCCTCCACCACCCGACACGGCCAATCAGTAAAAATGTGTCACGTTGACAAAGACAAATAGTTCACTGCTTTAGCCCACCGGTGTGTTGAAGCAACAACATTTACAATTTGAGTACGACGTTTCGCTGGTAATTGCAATCAGCATCATCGGGCAATTCGCCAGAATGGTGAGGCTCTCCTGTGTCTCCCGTTCTTATATAGAGCAGCAGCAGGGTGACGTCATCATTAACTCATTAACTCATCAGGTGCAAAGATTCAAGGGGGGAGTGATTGTAATTATATACTAGATTAGTAATCAGCGCATTTTTCGTCCTGTTCGCTGCGTCGGTTTCCTCCCAGAGCTCAAAACATAACAAGAAACTCGCAACGTGTCACGGGCATTGGCCAAAAACATCTCAATGCTCAAAAAAAAAATTGTAACCTCCAAATGACTCTCTTGGGATTGCACACCGCAGCAGCTACATCGCTCCTGTCCTGTGAAAACTTCGGTGCAGGACCCTCTTGACAAAGAGTCTTTGAGACTACTCGGCGAGGCTTTCCGGTCAATAATAACAACAGCAACGTTCGTTTCGCTGTTCAGACTCAACATTATTTACCCCGTCGAGGTGTTGAATCTACCCCGGGCTCACGAACTTAAGTAGGCGTTTAATAATCCACGCAGCCACCCGCATGCTAACCGATTCCATCGCTCCATCTCCTAAGTTGGCTGATCACGTGATAACCTAGGACCTAGGTTATGTCAGAGTTACGCGTTCAGAAATGTGCCCAGGAAACACATTCCTGCGGAGGGAGCTGGTAGGAACGTTGGGTTGCCCGGTCAATTGCCAGGGTCAACGGCGGCGTGGTGTATTCCGCAAATATGGCCGACTGTGAGGGCGGGCACAAGCCGGCGTGAGTAGGTTAAACGTTGAGTTTTATAAGGGCACCACGGGGTGACCAGCCCCACCCAGCCCCACCCTCCCCACCCAGCCCCTCCCCACCCACCCAGCCCCTCCCCAACCTCCCCACCCAGCCTCTCCCCACCCTCCCCTCCCCACCCAGCCCTTCCCTCCCCACCCAGCCCCTCACTGCACGACGGACACAATAATCCCTGTGGGCTGGTGTAACCAGGAGGTTCCTACCAGTATAACAATGTGCCCTCTGCCCATCTCCTGCTGATCAAACGCCTTCCCACCATGTGTCAGTAACGGGGCTTTGTTTGGCCATACTTCGCCACGCCGGTCAGTGCAGCTTCTGGACGGAGGCAGACGAGGACTGGGTCAGGTATCACTCGCCACTGATGTTAGCCGTGTTCGGAAATCGAACTCGGGTTAGCTATATCCGTGTCGCAGTGCGTGAACCACTGTGCCACCCACTGCTGCTGGTCACGTGCAATTGGATTCATTTTGTCTTATATATTTATTTTACTTTTTACAGTGCAGAATGGTCCGTGGAAGGCGATACTACAAAACGACTTCTCAGACGCTTTACAGTGACCTCTCGTCAATCTCAGTTGGCTCCACCTTTCCTAAAACGCCCGAACGAGAGCGATGTTGATCACATGGCACTCGAACCGAGTTTGATATTGTTTTTGTTTCGTGTGCGATGAAGAAGGGCAATTGCCCGAAACGTCGTCTATTATCTGTTTCGAATTTGGTGTAGTTATTTGTGCTCGTGCACCCGTGCCAACGCAACAGCATCACCAAGTAATGTCTTGTTATTTTCACAGACCCTGACCAGTGTAACGCACACAATGCTGTCACGGCCATTGGGTTTGGTTTAGAGTACAGGGTGAGCCAGATTGTATTGTGACCGCCATATAATTCCGTAAAACTTCCTTTTTTTAAAAGTACATTTTATTTAAAACTAAAATTTATATTAAAATTACAAATATGTGCGGGATCAATTAATTTGTGGGAGGGGGGGTGTCACAAGACATTTGGACCGCCCAGTACAGTACTGTAACAGGCTTTCGCAAACTCCAGTCCTCGCGAGCTATCCACCCACCACTCTCCTTCGTCTCTCCGCCTTTACCAACTTACTCCGCCATTCGAAATGCGCAGCGCAAATTAACTCGGTGCGCGCCGCACGCACCCGATGCTTGTTAAGACACTTCCCACGTGACGCGCTAAGCCAGGCATGTCCAAAGTCCGGCCCGCGGGCCAATTACGGCCCGCGGGCAGATTTCATACGGCCGCAGCTTCGGTCTTATAACGTGTTATTAATGGCTCGCTAGCTCTGTCAGAATAAATACATCATAAAACGCATGGAAATTTAAGGTATTCTATACAGTTTGTTCAATGTTATCTGACTGAATGAAAGGCAGAATTGCGTTTTTAGAGTTGTTCCCGTCTGCCTGAGTGGCTTATATTTGGTTACATTGTCATTTGAAAAATGAAGGTAATTGTGACAATGAAAATTGTTTTATCACAGTGTGTATTTCCACGTAACTTTTGTGGTTAAAACAATGTCAGAAGGAACTATTGGCCCCCGGGCATCTTCACTTTATCAAATGTGGCCCGATTTTGCAAAAAGTTTGGACACCCCTGCGGTAAGCAATCGACGAACGCTCGCTCGCGTCAAGAGTGGGACCGCGCGCGTGACGCACAACCGAGAGAATCAATGTATTCGTTTGAGATTCGGAGTAAAATTGAGATCTTGTGATTTCATTGCTTAGCGCGGCCACGTGGAACTGTGTTGTGTTTACCGGCAAATGATCGTGCGCGCGTGGAACGAGTTCATTTTAGTTAGACTGATGGCCTTAATCTAAGTTGTCTTGTGGTTGTTGTTGTTGTTTGACTTGCATCCCACTGGGATGTTTGCACACAGCGTTGGTGTACGGTGTTTTTTTATGCAATATTTTGCTGTCTTTTCTTGGATTTTCTGTTTGCACTTAGTCACATATTCCCTTTAAGATGTTTTTTGTTCATGTTTTTTGTTTGTTGCGGTTGCACCCGATTCAAGAGCCGAATGGCTCACAGGGCTACACCTAATACATGCACTTGAACATTTGTATTTGGAGGTCTGTTAAGAAAAAAGTTTAATAGCTCATCGGATTCCTTTCAGTGTCAATACAGAGTCTGAATGGGGTGGGTAGAGGGGGGGGCGGGAGTAAATTGGCACGGGCGTTGGTGGGTGGTAGGTGGGGCCGCTAGCACTGGAGTTTGGGAAAACCCTGGCTCAGAGAACCCTTAGCCCAGAAAACTCGGCCACGTGCATTTGTGTCATCGTCAGCCGCGTGGCTTCCCCTTG